CAAGTGTCTTAAACTCTATCTTTTCCACCCTCTCTGCTTAAAAACTATGATAAAGATCTAATACTTCTGTGTTTTATCTCTATGAATACATGCCCTTCTTATGGCCTTCATTTCATTTGGTTCCCAAAATTATTGAATTATTTTAGTACATACTTTCAGATATCATTTAAAAACTGAACAGTGACAATAAAAATAATTACATGTTTATATAATAGAACCATTTAAAACTGCGGACTATTTTACTAAAATAGACAAAGGAAAAAGTAAAACTCATTAATCATGTTCCAAAGAAGGTCATTATTACAGATGCCCCAATGAGTTGCCATAGTGGCAGAGACATTTTCAAGGTTTTTAAAAATACCAATTACAAGATATAGTTGGATCATTTAAAAATGTTGCTTGGAACATTTTCAGAGGGCTGAATGCTTTTTCTGGTTCATATAACTACCAGAGGCAAGTGCTTCCTTTAGTGGTCACCAGGTGAGCACAATCCTGCCCATATGAATAGGGTGATTCATGTGTATAGGCCTCCATTAAGATAGAAAAAAGTGTATCTTTTACAAAACTGAAATTACACTAATTTCTCTCCATCTGGAATTAGACAGCCTGTGCAAATGCCCTTTGCTTCTAGTCATTGTGTAAAAAAGTGACAAACCATTCCTTTATGATTTGCAAGGCCTGGAATATGCTAATATTAGTATGCCTTTTATTCATCAAGATTGGTTTAAATAAAACTGCCTCTGCCTAAACTTGTTACTATAGTGGTCTCAGAAAAAGGAAAATAAAAGGTTTTTACATTTTGACTACTGTTTTTGACACATCAGTGGTGATAATTTGAAATAAAAGTTTCCCTCTTACATTTAGTGTTATCCATGGACACACAGTGGTGAATAACACACACTGGGGCCTATTGAAGGGTATGGAGTGGGAGGAGGGAGAGTATCAGGGAAAATAATTAATAGGTACTAAGCTTAATACCTGGATAATGAAATCATCTATACAACAAACTCTCATGACATATTAACCTATATAACAAACTTGTGCGTGTACCCTAGAACTTAAAAGTTAAAAATATATAAAAATACTAGGTGGGTGTTGAACGACGAGAACATGTGGACTCAGGGAGAGGAGCATCACACACAGGGGACAATTCGGGGGCTAGGGGAGAGACAACGGGGGGAGCGGTGACGGAGGGGAAGGGGGGGATGGATAACAAGGGGAGAAATGCCAGATATAGTATGCACCAAAAGTAAAATAAATTAAAAATTTTTAAAAAATTTTTAAAGTTATCTTTTATAAACATGTTTTTATTACCATTGTGGTAGACAGAATAATGACCTTCAAAGATGACCACATGATAATTCCAAGAATGGGTGAATATCCTACCTTACCTGGCAAAGATGATTTTGCAGATATAATTAAGATAAGAACTTTGATATTGAGGGATTATCTTAGACTAGTCCAATATAATCACAAGGATTTACATTAGAGGAAGGCAGATGATCAGAATCAGAGGAAGAGATGAGACAATAGGAAGCAGAAGTTGAGGTAATACCAGTCGTGAGCCAGGAATGAGGGTGGCATTTACAAGAAAAGGTAAGGACACAGATTTTCCCTTAATGCCCCAAATGCAACAAAACCTCATCAATCTATTTTAGATTTCTTACCTCTAGACCTATAAGAGAACAACTTTGTTCATTTAAGCCATTAAGTAAGTAGTAATTTGTTGAAAACAGCCATAGAAAACTAACACAGCCAAACTCATACATTCCATGCTCATGTTTAGGAAGAATCAATATCATGAAAATGGCCATACTGCCCAAAGTAATTTATAGATTCAATGCTATCCCCATCAAGCTACCATTGACCTTCTTCACAGAACTGGAAAAAAACACTTTAAACTTCATATGGAACCTGAAAAAAGGCCCCATAGCCAAGACAATCCTAAGTAAAAAGAACAAAGCCAGAGGCATCACCCTATGTGATTTCAAACTATACTACAAGTCTACAGTAATCAAAACAGCATAGTACTGGTGCCAAAACAGAGATACAGGCTAATGGAACAGAACAGAGGCCTCAGAAGCAACACCGTATATCTACAACCATCTGATCTTTGACAAACCTGACAAAAACAAGCAATGGGGAAAGGATTCCCTGTTTAATAAATGTTGTTAGGAAAACTGGCTAGTCATGTGCAGACCACAGAAACTGGATGCCTTCCTTACGCCTTACACTAACATTAACTCCAGATGGACTAAAGATCTAAATATAAGACCTAACACCTTAAAACTCTAGAAGAAAACCTAGGCAATACCATTCAGGACATAGGCATAGGCAAGGACTTCATGACTAAAACACCAAAAGCATTGGCAACAAAAGCCAAAACAGGTAAATGGGATCTAATTAAACTCCAGAGCTTAAGTACAGCAAAAGAAACAAACATTAGAATGAACTGTCAACCAATAGAATGGGAAAAATTTTTTGCAATCTACCCATCTGACAAAGGGACAATATCCAGAATCTACAAAGAACTAAAGCAGATTTACAAGAAAAAAACAAAGAAACCCATTCAAAAGTGAGTGAAGGATATGCAGACACTTTTCAAAAGAAGACATTTATGAGGCCGACAAACATGAAAAAATGGTCATCATCACTGGTCATTAGAGAAATGCAAATCAAAACCACATTGAAATACCATCTCAGGTCAGTTAGAGGGGTGATCACTAAAAATCCTGAGACAGATGCTGGAGAGGATGTGGAGAAATAGGAATGCTTTTACACTGTTGGTGGGAGTATACATTGGTTCCACCATCGTGGAAGATAGTGTGGTGATTCCTCAAGGATCTAGAAACAGAAATTCCATTTGATCCAGCCATCCCATTACTGGGTATATACCCAAAAAATTATAAATTGTTCTATTATAAAGACACATGCACAGGTATGTTCATTGTGGCACTGTTTAAAATAGCAAAGACCTGGAACCAACCCAAATGCCCATCAATGATAGACTGGACAAGGAAAATGTGGCACATATACACCATGGAATACCATTCAGCCATAAAAAAGGATGAGTTCATGTTCTTTGTAGGGACATGGATGAATTTGGAAACCATCATTCTCAGCAAACTGACACAATAACAGAAAACCAAACACCGAATGTCCTCACTTATAGGCTGGTGTTGAACAATGAGAACACATGGGCACAGGGAGGGGAACATCACACGCTGGGGTCTGTTGGGGTGTGGGGGGCTAAGGGTGGGACAGCAGGGTACAGGGAGGTTGGGGAGGGATAACACTGGAAGAAATGCCTGATGTAGGTGATGGGGAGGATGGAGAGAGCAAAACACCATGGCATGTGTGTACCCATGTAACAATCCTGCAAGATCTGCACATGTACCCCAGAACTTAAAGCACAATAAAAATGATAATAATAAATAAATAAAAGAATGAATTCTGCTGTCACATTTCTAGGAAAATACTATAGGTTAATATTTATGACAGAGTAACTATTGACATCATAATGAATAAATTAGTTTTGCCTAGCCTAATTTAATAAATCATCTGATCATCTGTATCAGTCATAGAAATACAAGTCCAGTCTGTCCATTTCTCTCCATTTTAAAGAAGAAATAATAATAAAGTAAGACTTTCTGATGGGCTATTCCTCTCCCCACATTTAGTAGTAAGAAAAGGTTTTCAATTGAAAGGAAGGAAAATTTTATGATTCATTGGGGAAAAAATTAAAGCATTTGTATGTGAACACTTACTTCTTTAGAATGAGTATTATAGTCTCTCATGAGCACAGTAAATGCATACATACGTCTTTACAAAAGGAACCAAGATTGGTAGCCCTTTGAAAAAGTTTGAATTATTGCAGTGGCAGTAAAATATTGCATAGGATTGTAAGAGCTGTGATAATATTGCTTTACATATGTATGTTAAAGGGCTGTGAACATGGACAGCATGAAGGGAGTCACAATCACAAGAGCAGACAGCATTTACCTCTCAAATGCTCTAAGTCAATGAAAAAGAAAAGAGATTCTAACATCTTAAATGTGTGGGGATATTTTTGGGGGCAGATTTGGAAAACACTAGAATGATTATAAAAATGAAGGAAGATGGGATAATTCCTTGCCACTGGTAAGGGAATTAAAAAGTACTCTGTTAAGCAATATATGTTTCTTAAAGTGAATAATAACTCTGAAATTGCATAGTCAAGCTGATAATAACCAGAACTTATCACAGAACGTAGGTAGAAAATCAGCGATACTTTGAAAGGCTACTATATTTTTCAGATTTATAAAAATAAATGTAATTCAGTACTTTTATAACTATGTCTTTGGCAGCAGATATACTGTTGTCACACAGGGGAATGCTCTACGTTTCTGAAAAAGGAGAATACATTCTTTCCCTTGTAACCAAAGGAAGAGTTGATCTTTAAGTTTCTTCCCTTGATTGACATTCTGCAATTCTGTTCTTTTAAGTTACCAGTTAAGAAAAGGGCATCTCATTTGAAATACATTGCCTTGGCCAATCAATGAATTTGAGAGTGTAAGTTAAGAAAGGCTTAGCCATAAGTATTCTTTTGTATTTCCCTTATAGAATGGCCCCTTTTTTGTCCCTAGTCCCTACTATAAGGAAATGCAGAGATAATCAAAACATTTGGAATAAACGTGAAACTCATGGAAATCACCTTTTAGGGAAAGGGGAAAAATCGAAAACCTTAAATTGGTATATCACCATTACAGAAACCGTTTGCAACCCTGAGCAGAATTACAAATCAATTATTGGGAATTCTCTCTATTTACCTCAAAAAGTGCATATGCATGTGAAATACAGGAGTCAACCAAGCTGCTAAAGGTAGTTCTTTTCGTTTACACAGCACTTTCACCTATGTGATTTCAACAGATTCTCATAACTTCTTTTTTTTCTTTTCTTTTCTTTTCCTTTCTCTCTCTCTCTTTCTTTCCTTCTTTCTTTCTTCTTTCCTTCTTTCTTTCTACCATTTAACTTGTTTTAATGTTTCTTCACGAATGGTGAAAAATACTAAAATGCAGACAAGGAATAACCATAATGTTGTGGCCAACATTATAAATATGGAATTATACATTTAAAACACTTTCTGGCTTACAAAATAAATCTGGTAGTCAATGCAGCTCTGCAGGGTCTCTGCATCTAGTAGGGCCAATCTCTGCACTCCTGACAGTGCTTGCCTTTATCCATTTTTCCAGGTCCTCCACATCCTCCTCTTCCTCACATCTGTTTCATCAAAGTTCTGGGGAGGGGGGCCCAGGGTCACCTCATCTTCCTCCACCAAAGCCACCTTGGTGCATGCCCCAGCCACCACAGAAGCCACCTCTGTCTCTGCCATGGTCCCCTCTGAACATTCCACTAGGACCACCATGATCCATGAGGCCACTTCTTCCTCCCTGCAAGCCACCAGCACCACCTCTGCCAGGGCCACCAGTTGGGGGAGGGAAGGGTGGCGGGAGGAAGCCTTTAGGCTTTGGGGCCTTATACTGGTTGCACTCTGTTCTCCAGGCAAACTTCTGGTTTCCACAACCCAGAGTAGGACACTGCCAGTCTCCAGCTCAGTGCTGGACATTTCCTCCTCCAGAGGGGGCTTTCAAGGGAACCCCAGAATTCTTTTGGAGGGAAGCCTCCTCTATCTCTTCCACAGCCTCCCATATGACCCATTGGTCCTGAAGTACAAAGACATGAGTTTACCTCTGGATTCTTCCAATTACTGGATGTGCGACTTTTGTTTAGGATCTTGGGGCCTCAGTTTCTTTAAGTTTAGTAATACTCATTTAAGAAGGTGGTTGGAGGCTACTGCCTTCTTAAATGAGTCT